CAAATGAAAAGCATTAAAAACTACAATCAAGATTGTGAGCCCCTCTCAAGTTTGTCTCTATACAGTCTCTATATGTGAGGACATACACTATGTATCCAGTGAGTCCCTATACTTTAAGGACTCACTTTCCGATCCATTGAAGATTCATTTTGTCCCCATATTTGTTTATACCCATTTTATACGGTGGTTGTCCCTTTTAGGGATTCCATTGGAGTGAACATAGGGTGAAAATTTTAGGGCATGAGATCTGATGGATGAAAAAAGGGGAAGAGGCAACACTACAAGAAAAGTGATTATTAAGTGCGGTCAACTAGGGGCAAATGGAAGAACTCGCCTCTATTAATAAGATATTAGATGCGAAAATATTATTTGCCCTTATTAGTTTTATACCAGCCCTTAATATGGGAACAATTTCCAGCTGTTAATTTCAATAACTAGTAGGGGGAAACAACCGTCCCTAATATATTTTTTTTATTTTTCTTTTACATTCCGCCAATATTGTCATTAAGATTTAATTATTTAACACCCTAACCCTAATCCTCACTATTGCATTATGACTCGCCACTTTCTCTAACTGTTTGTTTTTTTATTTTATTTTAATTTGTATCGCTTAAATATATCAACACCTAACCCTATGGCAATGATAAGGGAACGAGGTGGAGGAAGAAGGGAATTGACAGATTGAGATTGAGGGCGGAGAAAAACAAAAACAAGAAAAAAACCACAAAAAAGACATATCACCTTATGTTATGCAGATTGGGCTCGATGCTTTGACACTCGACATCAGTTACCGGGTACTAGATATTTCTAGGAAAGTCATTGGTCTCTTGGAAAACCAAGAAACAAGTTACCATATTACGTTCAAGCACAAAAGCGGAATATCGTTCCATGGCATCCACATGCTGTGAAATAATTTGGTTGAAATCCATCTTGAATGATTTGGGCATTCTGCATTTATACCCTATCAAATTATATTGTGATAGCCAGGCCGCATTTCACATTGCTTCAAATCCCATCATCTTCATGAACGGATCAAGCACAAAGAAACCCTCTGTCATCTTATACGTGAAACAGCTCACATATCAACATCCCAAACCAGTAGACATGTTCACAAAGCCACCTGGACTCTCAAAATTTACTATCTTATTTGGCAAGTTGGTAACATCAACATACATTCCAACTTGAGGGCGAGTGTTGAGAAAAAGAAATGATTTCTGTGATTGATCCTCTGACTATTTGCATATACGTTTGCTTCCATAATTGTAGGAATACATGCTGACTTACAGGATCTAGATTGTTTCCCGTATTCTATAAATCCTTGTACCAGTATAATGAAATATACACATTCAACTTTATATATTTTAGTTCATTATTTAACAGAATAAACAATACTTAAAACCTAAGTATGTAGTCATAATGTGGGGACCAAACCAATTCTATTACATAAGAACGTTATTACTTAGCAGAGGTGTTAGAAAATTAGTTATCCTGAATGAAAGATAAATAGATATGAAGAATTACCTTAGTAATTAATGAAGCATGTCAATTTCTACGATATAATGAAAAATTAAAGAGAGACACCTAATTTCTAAATGCGTATCAAAAGTTTCATGCCAATAAGCTGTTAACATACTTGAGAGCTAGAGACATTTTGGCTTCGACAATAAGGTGTCCATACAAACGAGATATTACATATATGTAAGCTCAAAGGCGTGGCAGCAACTCTAAATAATAAGTATTGTCCCAAAATATTTTAGTTCTTCTTGAACTTTTATTTGTAATATAATAATGCATACTTTTAGACTTATTGAAAATTACTATTCCGTGAACACAAATTTTCTTAAAATGGGATTAAAAAAATTATAACTGACTCAAGTTGGGACTCTATATAACTGATCAAGTCTATTAGCCAAACGACAGATTTTACCCTCTTGTTGAAAATGAATGACGTCGAGAGCATTTCAGATTAAAAATGCATGATAGGCATAACACATTATTGGTGTGAACAAAAGTTGGTCAAAGATATTTGATGTGTGGAGTAGTAGCATTGCTTGAGAATAAAAAAGGTTAAGATATCTTTTCAAAAATTCAATGCTTATTTCTTTCACCAAAAATGCATAAAATGCAATGCTTTTTTAATCTGTTGATTTGTTATGTAAGTTGAGTCGAGTTATGTTTACGCATGAAGCTATCCAAATGATTACTTTCTTGATCATTATTTTCAACCCATAACATTTGGTGGAATTTCAAATAGTGCAGGAAACGAAAGAAATTTGTATGACATTTCTAGCTCCTTTTTTTCTAAACTTAATTAGTTATTGAGGTTCTTACTGGATGATGTATGTAAATAACATATGTTGAAAGGACACTTGGAACTGCTTGAATGGCTGTCAAAGTCTCCCTAGCCCACATTTTCCCTTTGATTGAGAAAAAATGAAATAGTAAAAGCTTAAACAAACACCTAATTTTGTTATACATCTCCAACCAAGGACATTTGGAAAATGTGAGCCCTAAAATTCAACAAAATAATCTCTAATCAAAGAGCATTTTGCAAATGTGCTTATTTTGCGGGCACAAATGATTTTTTTCTTTTTTTCTTTTTTTCTTTCTAAACAAACGATATTATCTATACTAAGGGGCTCGAGAAGTAAGTTAAGTCTCATAATGGGCTAGTAATAATGTGGTTTGAATTCTCTTTTGACGAGAGTCGCACCTAAAACGTTTCTGGTACAAGTAAAGAGAAATATCACTAGACTCTAGAAAAGTTAAAAAGTGTCGGCCCTCAAGCACTTGGGCATTTTTTTTTTCATGGAGCCACCGCTTGATGGCTTGGTGAAGAGGTGGTGCAGCACATCGCCGAGCATGACTTTTCATACACCCGTGGGAATTAGCCCTCCATAGTTGTAGACGGGAAAAATTAGCGTGCTACTATTCCTAAAAAATTATATTTTAAGGGCTAAAAATGAGCCCATGACTTTTATTAGCGTTCCATGGTTGAAGATCTCCTTAGTTTTTTCAATATAAAATCATTTGTTTCATTTTGTTATTGTAAGGACTCATTTAATAATCCTTTGAGTTTTAGCTTTTAGTTTTCACTTTTAGTGCTTGAGATACGAAGAATATATGGGATAAAGGAGGAGTGAAGAAAACGATGTAAGAGGGAAAGAAAGAAATAAAAATAAAGAATGAAAATAAAACCTTGCAAGTGAAAACAATTTCAAATTAGTGATTTTTTGCTTTTTGGTTTCACTTTGTAAGTCTTTCAAACATATTTCTTCTCCTCTCTCATCCACAATCTTTCCTCCACTCTTCTATTTCTCTCGCACTCCCATGTATTTTTCTCATATTATGATACAAAAAGAAAACCAAAAATTAAAAAGGGATCTTTTGATATAAGCGCCTTAGTTTTGAATTTTCTAGATCAAACATCCATGCCTTTTAGTGATTTGATTAAACTTTTTTTGGTCATAATTTTAGTGCTATATGCACATTATATGGTAACAAAATTCCTATAATCTAGCATTTTGATTACACTCTCTTCCTTCAGAGATAATTGTTAAAAAAAAAAAAGTTGGTTAGATTCAATTTCTTTTCACAATAATGCTACAATTTAGCAATAATTATCTACGATTTAAGATATTTTCTTTCCAAAATAGTTTAAAATATTTTTAAATCCCACAAAATCAAACGTACTGAAATAAGTTTTTCTTTTAGTACGTTAAGAGAAAATAGGATTGAGAATAATATAAATGTACAAATACACAATGTGTACAAAATAAAACGTACCAAAATAAAAATAATATACCAATATTAACAATATATCAAATCAAACGTACCAAAATAAAATAATGCACCAATATTAACAATGTGTATCAAATCAAATGTACCAAAATTGCAAATACACGTACCAATTAATGATATTTGTAAATTCAAACATACCCGCATATAATATATACGTAATGTATTGTACCTAATAATAATTCATCAACAACTATACTTAAAAATAAAAAAAGAAAGAAAAAGAAAACAGCAAAAAAATATCACAAAAAAAATTGAAAGGATTACACAAAGCTTTTATGTTGATCACCAACTATTTGAAAGAAAAAAAAAACCATTTGGAAAAAGAAATAATATTTTGCATAACAAAAAAAAAAAAACTGTTATAAAAAAAACATATCTGGAAGAAGAGAAAATATAGTTTAATTACTAATATCTCCACTAAATAAGGAAAAGTACATCATGCAGATAAAAGGATAAATTCAAAAATTGTTTTAATTTTAAAAAATATAATAATGACATGTAATTTAGCTTGAGATGATTATTGATCAAAACACTTTAATCAAATTTTAAAAAAGTACAGATATTTAATATAAATGATATAGAAAAACGGTAGGAGATTCTAATTTTCTCAATAAAAAAATAAAAAAAACACAATTACTCGAAATGATACGACTAAATTAAAGATTATCCTCCGATTTGAAAGTGCAATTTTGCTTATAATGCTGTAGTGCATGAAAGCAACCATAGTACCATTGGCTACATCAAGTAATGTCCTACTAAGAACAATCAAAAGATTAACTGCTATAAAGGACAGTCTAAACTTTGCCTTATATGATTGAGAAAGTTAAACATCCAGAGATAATTGAGGCTAAAAGTGGTTCATTGAGGCTAAAAGTGGTTCGGACCACATTAGTCCATTAAACATCTAGCTGCAGTCAACACAAATCAGAAAAATATGATATCCTATTATTCTATTTCCCCCACTTCTATAAAAGGGTGAAAATTTTAAATCAATTTTCTGACAACTCATTTTATATTGAGGTAATTACTGTAACTAGGGTTATTGCTAATCATCCATATAAACTATATAATAAACCTTTTGCTGATTCCCTGTTCTTGCATTCCTCTCTACCCCTGACCCCTCCCATCATTTTCTCCCCTTTCCCATCATTTTTTTTAACTAATCAATTATTTATTCTATTAATGATTTATTTTTAAATACCCCAGCCGCCCAGAACAGCCACCCAATTTGCTCTCTCTCCAAAATATCTACCAACACACACAAACACAATATCACTCCGTTGAGACAAAAGAATCTGTCAAAAAACAGTAACAGTAGAGAGAGAGTTCATCTTCTTCATCACATCCTTCAACAACAAAACCAATTGATCCTGAAAGCAAAAAATTACAGATAAAGATGAACCCATTACTGTTTTAGCCCCTCTTTTCAACAATCCCTCCCTTTCTCTCTCAGCCCTAAAACAGTTTGTGAATAATTACCACCATATCCAAAAAGCATCATATCATGAGCAGCCTTGAAGAGTCTCTAAGATCTCTGTCCTTAGACTACTTGAATCTGCTTATCAATGGTCAAGCCTTCAGTGACGTCACCTTCAGCGTCGAGGGTCGTCTCGTCCACGCCCACAGGTGCATCCTGGCAGCCCGGAGCCTCTTCTTCCGGAAATTCTTTTGTGGGCCTGACCCACCGTTGGGTCTAGACCCCTCGGGGTCCAGGATGAGTCCCGGTGGCACATCGTCATCGTATCACCGGGGGTCAGGTAGTTCACCGCAGCAGCAGCAGGTGATACCGGTGAACTCGGTGGGGTACGAGGTGTTCTTGTTGCTGTTGCAGTTCTTGTACAGTGGACAAGTCTCGATAGTGCCTCAGAAACATGAGCCGAGGCCTAATTGTGGAGAGAGAGGGTGTTGGCACACGCATTGCACCTCCGCCGTTGATCTTGCCCTTGACACTCTTGCTGCCGCTAGATCCTTTGGTGTTGAACAACTTGCATTGCTCACTCAGGTACCACTAGTCTCTTTAACTTCTCTCTCTCTCTCTCTCTCTCCCCCCTCTCTCTCCCTCTGCTCCCCCTCTTTCTCACTTTTTCTCTGGGTTCTTCTGTGTGTGCAGTCTTATGTTAGTGCGTTTTGGGAATTTCTACAATTCTTGGGTTTTGATTTTGTATTTGGGAAGTAAAAGTTTTTCTTCTTTTTCTATTATTTTCATTTTCTTTTTGGTACTGGGATTTCTCTCTCTCTTTCTCTCTCTTTCACATCATTTGTTCTTGTTCAGTTATAATTGAAGTTGGGATCTTCCCCTTTCCAATCCCAGTTCTTTTTTCCCCTCTCAATTTGTGTTTTTATTTCCTCCATATAAAGTAGCAAAGGCTTAACTAATATTTTTTTTTTTCAAGCATTTGATCCAACCATACTACTTTTCTTCTATAGTAGTGTGTTAATAATCCATAGGCATCTCTCTTCTTCTTCTTCCTCTTCTTCAGGATATTATTCATGATTAAGGAGCATTACAATCTTCAATAAAAACATCCCAAAAAAAATCAGGAGGTTTCTCGAACCAAAAAGACAAAAAATCCAACAAATGTTTTTTCTTCCTTCTTGATTTCATGTACCATTTCAATTTTCTTGAATTGGGTTTTTTTCCTTTCTTTTAAATGCACATAATGACTTTCTAAATTTAGATCTTGATATCCAGTCTTGTCTTTCCACAGTACACACTACAAATCTATCCCAAACATTCACTTTCCTCATTTGGTTTAACTGGATAAGCGATTACAAAATTCAAGAAAAAGACTAAAACATCCCATCACTTTATCAATACAAATATTGTTAATGTACAAGAAAATCCCAAAAGTGCATATATCTAATCTATATATCTCAATAATGAAATTCCAACTAGTAGTACCATTAACATCATTATATACAATGTCCTTGTTTTTTTGGGTTTTACAGAAGCAATTGGCTAGCATGGTGGAAAAGGCCTCCATTGACGATGTGATGAAAGTCCTATTAGCTTCCAGGAAACAAGACATGCATCAGCTTTGGACAACGTGCTCTCACCTTGTTGCCAAATCTGGCCTCCCACCAGAAGTCCTTGCCAAGCACCTCCCCATCGATATCGTGGCCAAAATCGAAGAGCTTCGTCTCAAATCCTCCATCGCCCGCCGTTCAATGATGCCTCATCACCACCATCATCACCACCATGACCTCGGGGCAGCTGCGGATCTTGAGGACCAGAAAATCCGTCGAATGAGGCGGGCATTGGACTCGTCAGATGTCGAACTTGTCAAGCTCATGGTAATGGGGGAAGGCCTAAATCTCGATGAGGCATTGGCATTACACTATGCAGTCGAAAATTGCAGCCGGGAAGTTGTGAAAGCGTTACTAGAACTTGGTGCAGCTGATGTAAACTACCCGGCTGGGCCAGCCGGCAAAACCCCGCTTCACATTGCTTCCGAAATGGTGTCTCCGGACATGGTGGCAGTCCTACTCGATCACCACGCTGACCCAAATGTCCGAACGGTCGATGGGGTTACTCCTCTGGACGTACTCCGAACCCTAACTTCAGATTTTCTATTCAAGGGGGCTGTCCCGGGACTAACCCACATTGAACCTAACAAGCTCAGACTCTGCCTTGAGCTCGTACAGTCCGCTGCTCTTGTTCTTTCACGCGAGGAAGGCAACAGCAATGCAAACAACAATCCTAATTCTTCGAATTCCACGGCGATTTACCCACCGCTAAGCGATGATCACCATAGCAGTGGCAGCAGTGGCAGCAACATTGGGAACCTTAACTTGGATTCTAGATTGGTGTATCTGAATCTTGGAGCAGCTCATCAAATGGGGTCTAGAAATATGGAGGGCCATGATCATCAAGATCATGATCATCATCATAGGGCGCAAAGTGGCTGTGACCCATCAACAATGTACCACCACTCTCACGACTACTAGTACTACGTAGCTATATTATTATCTAATTAAGACTCGTGATCATCACTTATAATATTATTATTATTATTATTTTATATCTTTTTAATTATATGCATCCCCTCTTGGATGGCAAAGGAGAAAGAGTCGTCCAAATTCATGAAATATGATCTTATTTAGACTAAGGAGATTAATTAATCGGTAGTGGTTAATTACATGTTTTGATTTCTTCTCTTTGTTTCTTTCTATTGTCTCTGTTTTGTATGGTTGTGTCTGTATTTTTTTGTAGGGTTTTCGTTCATCTTCATATGAAATTGGAGGCATTGGGGTGAATGTTGATGAGACATTTGGAGAATCTGAGATCTTTGCTAATGCAATGCATGGGGTGGATGGAGATCGGAGACGCAGGTCAATCTTTTCTTTTCAACCTCTTTGGTTTGGGCCTGTCATCTCCTTTGTATTTATTGATCTATCTAAGTTCATCGCGTATTTATTATGCTCCATATATTTTCTTGTCCCCCACCTACCTCTCATCATCCATCTATGCATATTATATTCGCATTATTCTATATTATTTAAGTTAAAAAAAAAAATCATCATTTCACGAGCTAAATCAGTATAATAATTAATTATAAAATGTTTCATATCTGACTAAATGGTTGAGGTATTATTATTTTTTAATTTAATTATGTATATAAATATGAATTGGGTATCATATGGTAGGGGTATCTTGCTAGTTTTTGTTTGTCTAAATTTTATTAATTTGTAAGGCATTGTTTGGACAAGAGTCCCTTGACACAGGGAATTTTAGGGAAATGAGCTGTCTCATCTCATCCCATTGCAAATTATGTGCAATAAGCTGTGTGAAAGAAAGTTTTGTTTAGCTGTGATTTTGGCTAATTAAATTATTTTAAAAAAGGAGGTTTGAGAACACATTGCTGTGGACAAACTGAGTGGTTGTCATGCATGAATGCAACAATTGAGTGTGACAGCACCCTACAGACTACTGGAGACTACTTAAATATGTATATGTATATATACATATTTATATATATACACACATATAATATTTTTTCCATGAAAATCTGTCCCGATTCCCTCGTTTGTAATTCTAAATTTCTAATCCACTTTTTTGTCTCCCAATACCTTACCGATTTTCTTATATATGTAGAGTTAACATGCATGCTTCCACAAAGCTTACAGCTAAAACCCTAGTTTTTTTATTGTACTATATGGCGGTGACTGGTCTCTTTCTAGATGTAGAACCCTAAATTATTTAGCTACACTGTCCTCTCTCCTGCATTGTACAGGATTCTACAGGATTCTTTGTTATATTCCTTTTGAAATAATTTTTTGGTTAATTTTTCTGTCTTTCATCAACTTCGAATTAAAAGAAACTAACGATATAATAAAGAAGAAACAGTGTTTCTTGCACTCAGTAATCTATGCCGATTTACTTGGGAAAACTGCCCTACAATACACAATAAAATCTTAATTATATTTGGTAATTTAGTAGAATAAGGAAGATAAATCATGCCTTAATCTAATTGAGAACTCGTGAGGACCAAATGCATATTAGCCACAAAATCAAAACCAACTTAAAATTTGGTTGTTAATCTGGAGTGCTATCTTCATGATATTAGGTTGTTAGCTGATCGTAGTTAAGTTTCTTTTTGTTCGTCGTTTAGGGAATATGGCAGCTCACAAGGTTGCTGCATTTACTACTCTGAATGGGAGCTCTTTTTTCTGGGATGCTTTTGGTCCGGAATTCTTGTTTAATACCCTTACAGAGGATGTAAACGTTTCTATTCATCTTTAATAAATTCTACTCTTTTGACCAAAAAAAAAAAAACTAAAAATCCGTGAACCATTGGATTACTCATTTTCTTGTTTTTGATTGATTAAGTTGTCAAATATTTTAAGCCTTTGGATCTAAACTAATATAATCATGTGGCTAATATGCATTTGGTTCATACAGGTCCTCAAAATGAAGACCTTAGGAGAGCAAGACTCACCGATCATTAGGGTTTGTCTGGTATCCTTCTTGGATTCAATTTTTTGTTTTTAAAACTATTGAGTATTAAGTAATTTAACTACATTCATTATTTTCAAAAGAAAAATTAGATCCGAGAAGAAGGATACCATACCCTTAGCTTCCTGCTTGATTCCACCATTTTAATGCATGCGTATGAATATTGGAGAACAATCTAACGATATAATGAGTGTGGAAAAAAAAAACAAGTGATCTAATAAGTGCATATACTGATATACGAATTGACATTTGAGCTGAAGAATTCGGGCATATTTATGATGAGTAATGCTAGGAAAACCATCTGAAGCAGGGCATCCAAGGTAATAAATCGAAGGAACATGGGGAATCACTCAATTAGAGGCAACGGAATTACTCACATCGCTAATTGTGAATTCACTTAACACAGCCAAGCTAAATGCTTGACTGTAGAAGGAGGAAACACTCACTCACTTCAATTGCAAATAGTGAATATATTTTTCAATTCATTCAAGTCTCTCCTTCAAGGCTTTCTAGTACATTATTTATAACCTCTACAAATTAATAGACCTCAAGTTTCTATGATATCATTACAACTCCCAAAATAACTTGAGAAATTTTTATGGGACAAATATTTCAAAAAGGTTTAGACTTCCAATACGCATGGGTTGTCAATTAATAGACTACAGTTACTGCATCACCATCTATTGAAACTATATTTTATAAACCACATAACGTGAATATTGATGATTGAATTATACTTGATTAACGAGGTTATTTTATATTGGTGACGATGATGCTAGAGAGACAATTTACTTGAACCATATTTTTGTAGACAACATAATGTAGCAATCATCAACCGCCACATCATGTGGTATATAATATGACCTCCATAGCATTTTCTATTGGTAACACATCATATTTTATGGTCTAACTAGATTGTCTCTCTAGTATTTTTCATTTATATATATTTTTCCTAGCCTTTAGGCGTACGTGAATATATTTTTTGTATCTCTCCTTACTCAGTTGTATGTAAATGAAAATGTTTATGCGTTATTATCTCCTTAAATTGTTGTTACAATGGTCACCCTTTCTACTCACTCTAACTAGGCATCAAATTAAGCAATAACTAATTAAGAAACTGAGATATATTATGTAACATAATAATAATAAAAAAAATTGGGGTCAAATAACATAACCAAACAGTACCTGAGCATGGGCTCATCATTTGGTAAGTAACTACATAAGATTGGATTAGAATGAATAATTTTTTAATTTTAAGCTATGTTTAGGAAAGAATTAAAAATATATTTCTAATTAGAGGACAAAAGATAGATTAATCATGAAGAAAACTTATATTCTTAAATTTACACATATGTAATCCGCTTCTAATTACCCAAATAAAAAAATTATTTACTTGCATTTTGAATATGCCTTTAAACTAAAAAATTTATATATTCATCCCAACTCAATCCTATGTACTTACCGAATGAGCACATTGTTCCTTGTTGAAGTCATAATATCACTAATTTTTCTGGACGTATATATAGTGAAGTCATTTCTTGGTCAAAATTGTGTCAGTATTACCATAAACTTTTTTAATATTATTATTAAACAATTCTCACATGTTGCTATTAAGTACTATGATATGTGGTACTATTCTTTATTTATAAGTGAAATGTATTATGTTCGATTCTTGCTAAAAACGAATTTGAACAATATTATTACTAGCTCATTATGAGACGAAGTCCGTCTCCTCTCCCTTAATATAGATAATATCGTTTGTTCTAAAAATAAAATCTATAAATAGGATTTATAGCTAGAATAAGAACGAGAAATAATAACAGAAAAAAGAAATAAAAAGAAATAATAGTAAAAAATTTAATTTTTATAATAAATCTTATTATTAAAGAGATCATTATTGATAGTAGAATAACCCAAAACTTAAGAAATTGGACTTATTTTAATAAAACCGAACTATTCATACTATTAGCTCTATTGGATTTATATCAAATTTCTCATTTCTTTGAGGGATAATGCTAGAAAGACCAAAATTTTAAACCAAATTACGTGGTTGTTAATGATTGGATTATTAATCAAGTGTCAAAATATTTGACAACTTAATCAATCAAAAACAAGAAAATGAGTAATCCAATGGCTCAACTATTTTCCACCACTATGGTAAAGGGCCACTTGCGATTATTACGATGATTAATATGCTTATTTTCTATTAGTGACACATCTCCCTAAAATATTAGTCTCCTGGCATTATCCTTCTTTGAGATCGATAAAAATGAAGAACATTTTGTACGATGCAGATATAAGCCGAAGTTAATGCAAGAAGTTCAACTTTTCTCTTCTTTTTTTTTATTACTTTCATTCATCTGTCCAAGAAAATGGTAAAGTATCTAGCTCCTAAATGACATTTCGAAATCCTTACACCATCGGCAATTGGCAATCCCCAAAACTTATTTAACTTCTCTGCAACTGACTACCATCATCCATAAGTAGTGATCAATATTGTCATAAAAATTGGTGGAAGCGTGATAAGATTTCTCGCGTTGCACTTCTCTGAAACACGAAAGAGTAAACGTCTACCAGTTATAAGCATTTAACATTAATTTTATTCTTAACCTAGCTAGCATACATAGCATGGTTACATAATTAGCGAAGACAAGAAGAAGAAAAAGGGAAGAAAGAAAAAAAACCATGACATTATATTTAATTAGTTATTCTTTGTATCTTATGTAACATCTCATTTTACCCTTTACATTCTATTATGTCCGACTTTTACTCCGTTATTCCTTTTTTATGTCCCACTTTACCACATTTTATCAAATTGGTTGAAAGAGATGTTAGTTTCACTGACATGGCAGAGGCTCTTTGATCTTTTCAACTTGTTTTCACCTTTGGGACATCTGAAACCGCAAAAAATGACCAATGCACGAAAAACAAAACCCCAAAACCCCTCCAAATTAAGCAAATTCCCTCCTTGGAAACCCTAAGTGGCTAAAGTCTTCCAAATTGTCACTAAAACCTGTAAAGATATAAAGAACACAGCTCAAGTCTCAGATGGTGACACTTGTAAGAAGATTATGTAATTCAGTTAGCTTAGTTTGAAAGCAAAGTCAATAGTATAAATAGTCTTGTATTGTTACATTGGTAGTTAATAAAAAAATACACAAAAAGACTTCTCTTTTTTTTTTCTCTCTTGTTCTTCAATCTGTATCTCTTTCTCTTTCTAGATTCTTTACAATTTTGATCTGTGATCATCATCTACGCTCATTTGATATGGTATCTTCGCCGGTTATGGAATTATCTCTTTGATCCTATTCATCTGCTGCTTCCGCATTCTAGTTACCTCCAATCTACTATGAATTTTTGGTGTTCTTGATTGATTGCGGTCTTCTTCTCTGTGCATTTGTGAAAATTGGTGCATCCTCGAAGTGTGCGCATCAAGTGTTCGACAAATTGTGTAATTGAAAATCTTCATAATTCTTTTGCAAATCTCTCCACAATCTGATCTTCTTCCTTCATTTCTTCAAGATTCAGAATAATTTGAAACCCTAATTTCTGGTTTTTTCTCAAGATTTTCTTTTACGGTATCCTCTTTTCTCATCAAGAATTGTGAAAGCATGGTGACTGCTGCTCAATTACAGATTGTGCAATCTCCTATTACTAGTTTAATTTCTACTGTGTCGAATTCTGTAACTGTTAAGCTTGATGATACAAACTATCTTGTTTGGAGTTATCAAATGTTTATTCTTCTTGAAAGTTATGGCATACTCTGATAAGGAAGGTGTTGAAACTGAGGCATTTCAGATTTGGAAAATGCGTGATCGTGCTTTGATGCAATTAATCATTGCCACTTTGTCTACTACCGCCATGTCTTGTATCATTGGCTGCACTAATTCTCATGAAATGTGGCAAAACTTGAAGGATAGGTTTTCTACTATCACAAAGGCTTGTCTCTTTCAGTTGAAAACTGAATTACAGAATATTAAGAAAGGGTCTGAGTCAGCCTCTCAGTACTTGCAAAGGAACAAAGATGCTAGAGATCATCTTTCTGCAGCTGGTGGTGTTTTTTATGATGACGATATTGTCATTCTTGCTCTTAAAGGATTACCTGCAGAATACAATACTTTCAGGACAATAATTAGAGGCAGGGAAGATGTTATTACACTCAAAGATTTTCGAGCACAGCTAATTGCAAAAGAACCTATTGTTGAAGCCACTCCTACTACTAATTCGTTCATGTCTACGATGATGGCAAAGGATAAAGGCAAACTTCTGATGCTTGATGAAGGGTTATACAATAAAAATAGTTTGTTTTTTTCAGTCTGCGGTTCATGGCAGCTCTTCTTCTCAGAATGGTACCAATGGAGGCTATACTCACAATGTTGGGAATTATAATGCTAGTGGTTATAATGGTAATAGCAACTTTTTTAATCCATGAGGCTATAGGAGTTACAATTACAGAGGCAGAGCAAGGGGGAGAAATCAATATGGCAATCATCATCGATTATCTAATAATGGCTCTCCCAATGGTGGTGTTGGTATTCTTGGTCCAGCAAGGGCTCAACCACATGTTTCCACTTGTCCTAATCATGGTTATGACGTTCCAGTTTGTCAAATCTACAACAAAAGAGGGCACATTGCTGCTCATTGCTTTCAAAGGCACTCCTTTACGATAGTGACTTCTTTTCCTATTCAGTGTCAAATATGTGGCAAGTTTGGGCATTTTGCAATGCAGTGTTATCACAGAGCTAATTACTCTTATCAAGGGAGATCTCCATCTTCAAAATTTACTGCAATGCAAGCCAATTATCAACCTTCTACTCCCCAAGAACAATTTTGGGTTGCTGATACAAGAGCAACTTCTCACATGACTTCTAATCTTGCCTCTCTGAACACTATAGCTCATTTTATTGGCACTGATACAATCACTACTGCTAGTGGTTCAGGTTTGACCATCTTTCATGTTGGTTCTTCCACTTTACATGCTCCAAAATATGCTTTTCAATTAAAGAACATACTACATGTTCCAAAATTATCTCAACATCTCCTATCCATTTATAGGTTGTGTAAGGACAACAAATGTCGTTTTATTTGTGATGAATTTTGTTTCTGAATTCAGGAAAATA